CTTAACCACTATGCCACCAGGGTTTCTAGTAAATAAAAATTAAAAAGATAAATAAATAAATGCAATAGGTTTGCAGCATCAGTTTCAGAGACGATTATGGCTTACATACCTAATAAGCAATGATGTAGCCAAGAGGAAGGACAGATATTAAACCAGTGGCCTCAAACTTTGCTGCATATTATAATCACCTGGAGAGCTTTTAAAAATCCCATTGTCCACTTAACATAAATCAGAATCTCTAGGGATAGGACTCAGGCATCTGTATCTTTTAGGGTTTAAGGTGGTGGAAGTAACAATCAACCTTGGATATTATTCAAGCAGCCACCGGGAGAGCAAGGGCCGCCAACAGAAGAGGACTCTTTATGAATGCTTCACCTCAAGTCTTCACTAATTTGCCTTAAAAATTTCCATAGCATTCTGCATCTTTGTCTGGGGCTGAAGACGTGATTTAAGTTTCCCTTCATACTAACAGCTATCCACACTGCTCAGCTGGGGCCTACTTTCTGCTGGAAGAATTAGAATGTAGAATAGCTAAAGGTGATGGATGTCGATTAGTACGAAAAACCAACTTCTGTTTTCATAACTTGCTTTGCAACCATCTTTATATAATTCTTTCAAAGGCCGCTGTTGTTAGGTTCGGTGGAGTTGGTTCCAATTCATAGCGACCCTATGTACAAAAGAACAAAACACTGCCGGGTCCTGCACCATCCTCAAAGGCTGTGAAGTCTTTGATCTTCGTCAGTGAGAGCTTCAAGCCCTTTTCACTTTCAGCAAGCAAGGTTGTGTCATCTGCATATCGTAGGTTGTTAATGAGTCTTCCTCCAGTCCTGATGCCCTGTTCTTCTTCATACAGCCCAGCTTCTCGGATTATTTGCTCAGCATACAGATCGAATAAGTATGGTGAAAGGATACAACCCTGATGCATGACAATTCATTCCAAGGATGCAAAAAATCACACTTTTGGCTTTATAGTAAAAAGACTTCCCAGACACCGTATGGAAAATGCCTGAATGATGTCACCTCTTTGTTTGTCTTTTAAAAATACAGAGTTAACTTGATACAATACCTATGTAATTTTTATTAAGATTTTGTTGTTGTTAGCAGTCGTCGAGTCGATTCTGACTCATGGTGACCTTATGTGTATCAGAGTAGAACTGTTCCACAGACGTTTCAAAGGCTGTGACCTCTCAGATGCAGATTGCCAGGCCTGTATTGCGAGGCACCTCTGGGTGGGTTTGAACAGTCAACCCTTTGGCTAGTAGTCAAATACTTAACCGTTTGTGCCATATAAAGATAGATAAAAAGACAAACATTTCATGAAATATTGTTATTTGTTTAAAAAATAAATATTAAATATTTAAATATTCCAAACAGCTTTATGAAAAAAAGTCTCTCCCTTTCCTATTTCCCCATTCCCTGAAAAAAAATCACAAAACAAAAACAAATGCAAACAAACAAATGCAAAATATAAACAGATCTAGAACCAAAGATGGGGACTAGAGTCTACCTTACAGTCCAGCCGACAGAGGCGTCCCTCGTGAGCCACCATATCACCAGGAGCCTGTAGGAAGTGTGGTCGGAAAAAGCGTTCCTGTAGGGGCTCTTTGTCTCTTTCTTGAACTCGGGACCTTCCCCTGTAATAAGCAGCATGTTCAGGCATTAAACATAGAAGCCAATTCACAAACTTATGACAGTAGGCAGTTAGGCATGGCTATTGGAAACCCTAGGGGGCAGTTCTACTCCATCCTGTAGGGTCGCTACGAGTCGGAATAGACTTGACGCCAAACGGCTTCTTCTTTTTTTAGCTTATGGGGCTTGGGGAGTCCCTGCGTGGTGCATACTGTTAATGAGCTGGGCTGCTAATTGAAAGGTTGGTGGTTCAAGTCCAGCCAGAAACACCTCGGAAGAAAGACCTGGCAATCTACTTCTGAAAAATCAGCCACTGAAAACCCTAAAGAACACAGTTCTACTCTGACACACATGGAGTCGCCATGAATCAGAATTGACTCGACAGCAACTGGTTTGGATTTCGGATGAGGTCTGGAGAACAGATTTTTTTTGGGGGGTGGGGCGGGGGATGAGGTTGTTGCTTGACCATAAGCAAATAATAAAGATAATGTGGAGCTGATATAAAAAAACAAAGTGGTAAGTATCTCATATACTGTAGGATTATCTTGAGAGATCTGTAATCGAATAAACAGGCTTTAGCTTCTTTCTCTCTGAAGTTATTCTGGGTTAAATGGCTCAGCTCCCCTCACCATGGGTTTAACCAGTTGTTCAAAAGTCTTCAAAATAAACAAATAAATCAGTATTCAATCCGAACTTCAATGGGAGCCAAAAGACAAGTCCTGTTTATTACCCAGAACAAGGTAGCTGCAATCCCTGTGTCTCTGAGTAATAAAATTTAACCTGACTATAAATTATTAAAGCTGACCATGAACTTAAACTAGATTAAGACTGACCAACAGTAACAGCTGTTCTTTAAAAGAAAAAAAAAAGAAGAAGAAGGTATAGTTGCAACAGTGGTGAAATACTGTATCTGAAACATGGGTCATTATTTTTGTTCCTTTGGTAAGTCGCATTTAATTCATCCACGTCAGCAGCTATGGAAAGCTTTGCTAAGACTTTGTGGCACCAGAAGACTCAAGGGGAAGCCAGGCTTTTTCTTCTCAATCCCACTCAAAACAAAACAAAAAACAAAACAAACCCATTGCTGTTGAGTCAATTCCGACTCATAGTGACCCTATAGGACAGAGCAGAGCTACCCCATAGGCTTTCCAAGGAGCAGCTGGTAGATTCGAACTGCTGACCTTTTGGTGAGCAGCCGAACTCTTAACCACTGTGCTACCAGGGCTCCTCTTTCTTACAGTGGTTAGTAAAGTCAGAGAGGAAGAAAACCAATTGTTATACTAGAGACATGTGCGCTACCAAGCAAAACGAGAAAAAATTGTTTATAATCACTAATATAAATCACTTGTTTTATTAAAGATGCTGGTAATTTAATCCAATATAAATTAAATAATGTTATTATATGTTGTGTGCACAGGTGCTACTGATGGTTATAAATATTTTGAAACATTAAAAGTGTGCCATACTCTGGGGACCATGGTCTCGGGGAACATCTAGCTCAATTGGCATGACACAGTTTATAAAGACAATGCTCTACATTCTACCTTGGTGAGTAGTGTCTGGGGTCTTAAAAGCCTGTGAGCGGCCATCTAAGATACTCCACTGGTCTCATCCCTTCGGGAGCAAGGGAGAATGAAGAGAACAGGATACAAGGAAAAGATCAGTCCAAAGGACTAATTGCCCACAGCTACCAAGGCCTCCACCGGACTGAGTCCAGTACAGCTAGATGGTGCCCAGCTACCACCACTGACTGCTCTCACCAGGATCACAACAGAGGGTTCTGGACAGAGCTGGAGAAGAATGTAGAGCATTATTCTAACTCACAAAAAAAAGACCAGATTTACTGGCCTAAAGGAGACTGGAGAAACGTTGAGAGTATGGCCCCCAGACACCTTTTAGCTCAGTGGTGAAGCTACCTCCAAGGTTCACTGTTCAGCCTGGGAGTGGACAGCCCCGTAAAACCAAATGAGACTAACGGGGTACAGGAGTCCAGTGACAAGGGCCAGAAGGCAGAAGGGGACAAGGAAGCTGGTGATAGGGAACCCAAGGTTGAGTAAGGATATTGTTGATGTGTTGTGAGATTCTTAACCATTGTCATACGGCAACATTTGTAGTAACTGTTAAATGAGAAACTATTTTGTTCTGTAAGCCTTCATCTTAAGTGAGAATAACAGCACAATTGGAAGAGCGTAGTCAATGTCACTGAACTGTGCATGTAGAAATTTTTGAAATGGTGTATCTTTGTCTATGTGTATCTTCACCAAAAAAAAAGGTTGAGAAGTTAGAGGGTTAATATGTTGTGGGGTTGTTAACCAATGTCATAAAACAACATGTGTACTACTGTTTCACGAGAAACTATTTGTTCTGTAAGCCTTCACATGAAGTACAATAAAATATAAAAAAAAAAAAAAATTAAAAAAAAAAAGTGTGCCATAGACCAATGATCCTCAAACTTAATGTGCTTATGAATCACCTGGGGATGTTGTTAAAATGCAACTTATGATTCAGTAGGTGTGGGGTGGGGCCTGTGACTCTGCATTTCCAACAAGCTCCCAGATGATGTTAATGCTGCAGGTAGAGGACCACATCTTGGTAACAAATTTGTAGATGCACTACTTCAGTGTTATTGTGGTGGAAGGTGCTAGGGAAGGGGGATTCTAACTGTCTTTACCTGTGAGACTGACCAGCAGAGGTTAGTCGACAACGAATGGGCAAACTCTGTACCATTAAGTGGCCGGAACAGCTGATTCTCCCCTGAGAAACAGAAAACAAAGAAGATTAAAATGAAAAGAATCCCACATTAAAAAAAAAAATTATATAAATTTTCTCTGGACCAGAACATTATGAACCTTTTGGTTAACTATTATAAGTTTTGTTTTGTTGTTGTTTTTTTTTTAAGAAATGAAAATCATAAAATGTGACTCCTTAAGTCACTGTTAAAGAATATTGCGATGACTTTTCTTTTTAAGCTGAGAAAAGAACAGAGGACAAATGTAAAAAAAAAATTGAATTATTGTGCAGTTAACATTATTTGCAGTCACAGGCAGAGAGAGAATGGTCAAGTATTTTTATCCTTTCCTCAACAGAAATTATCTTCAAAACTAACACTGCAATATGACCAGTGGATGAGAGTAGAATTACAGTCCTGCACTTCCTATTCTAACAGTTGTTGAAGATATTTACTTTGCCATATCTTTTAGGAGAATTTTAAGTCTTGACCTCATTCAGCAAAGGAAAGTGAAAATATGGCTTTCCAACACTGATTTAAACAACAAAAAAAAGACATTATATGAGTTTGACCGACACTCACAAGTCTTTGTGAAATAATTTGGCTAGTCTCTAAAGGACAAAAACAGCAAATCATGATTTCTTTGATAGAAAACATATTCTTCAAGAGAGTCAATGAGCTGATAAATACAAGACTCAGCCCAACAGGTCTGGGAGGTGTATGTAGTGAATGGGTACTACCAATGTCCTTTGACAAAGGTTGAAGAATGAGTGACTCATCAGTGGCTAACTGATCTTTTAAATTGTGATACTGTGCTCTAGTTACAGTCACAATGCTTCTCATTAATTTTCCTCGGCAATCCTTAGCAACTTGCACTTCTCAAGGTTTCTTTCACAATGACATCAATGGCTCTTTCCTCAGAGCGTTGCACAGCGCAGAACCCTGTCTCTCCACCTGGGGGTTGGCAGCCATGATGGTGTAGTTGCCGTCATCATCACTGGTGGTGGACTCAATGTGCAGAGAACACGTCCCGTCGCCTTCTCGCTTCATTTTGCAGCGCCCATTGCTCTTAGAAATCTGTTTTCCATCTTTGAACCAGTAAACCTGAAATGAAAGATAATCAAGGAGAATATACCCAGTTTTGTACATCTTCAGAGGACAACGAAGGAGCGAGTAGAGTGAGGCATGGGCAAATCGCCATCTCTACAACAAGTGACCCTTACGAAGAGCTTAAAAAATTATAAACCTTATTTAAAATGACCTTATAATATCTCTCTACTTGTACATACATGATATTTAAGCCAAAAGTACAGTATCATTTAGATGAAATCTTTAGACTGTTTTTTTTAATTGCACTTAATGATTAATTAAAAAGCCACGCTGACGTTTCTTCAGAGGCAAAATAATGAAAACCAAGGGCCTGGAGCTTTTCCCATTATCCTATTTATAAGCTCAAGTCTCCTGCAGTTGCAAATCACAGGGTCTAGAAGAGCTCACCTTGCTTAACAGGATAGTAGGCGTCATTATACCAAGTAGAATAAGCTCACTACATTTCTCAACAAGCTAAAATTTAAATAAGTTATTTTTTCATGTTAAGTTTTGCATGTGTCAAGGGGATCTCTCAAAGACAGGGGGGATAACGTACTGGTCACAGCTGCCCTCCTCTATGTCTCTTGGTTACCTAACCATAAATAATAACACCATACTATTGTTTGTGAAAACAGAGTGGAGAGATGCCCTGCTACAGCCCACACTGGGTGTAAATCCTTTTCTCAGCTGGCTGCCAAAAAATCTGGTGACTCAGAAGATTTTTCAGCAGCCTGCAATAATAATATGACATTTTTGGAATTTACTAATCTAGTAGTAATGATACATATATAGCTCACTTAGTATAACAACAGGCACCCTGTGGACGTTCAATAAATAGTAAGTGGAAAAATATCAATTTGGAGAATTTGACAATTGAAAGAATCAATAGCCCAAAATATGGAATCATGACTTAGAAATTTATCTTAAATTTTTATTAAAATTCTTACTTGCCCGTAGTCAGATTTCTTTTTGGCCTATTTAACAATTCTATCCCAATGGTCTCTTTTTAGTCAAATTGTCTGGGCTTTGCTAATTTTCTGATATTGGTTTTTACTCCCTCTGTAGATGCTTAACTAGCATCCGATAAGACTTTCTTGAAGGCACTCACTATCTATAGTTCTGGGCTGTTGGTTGGCCTACTGGTTTGTCATCTTCCCCTACCTTTGGAACAGGTATCCCAACAATTTTGCAGGTGAATGTGACTGGAGAGCCTTCTGTGACCCGGAAGTGCTTGAGCCTTTTGTCAAAGATGGGAGCAATACACTTGCCCGTGGGGATCTCGTCATGTTGGATTTCATCATCTGATTCATCAACTGGGGTACGTTCCAAGCGAAACTCTATTTCGTTCATCAGCCTCTGCTCAAAGCTTGAAATTTTGTACTCCTGTCAAAATGACAAACATGTTTCAACTTCAATTTCTGTGGATGAGGAAGAATTTGCCCACGAATATAATCTGGAGATACAACTCTTTAAAGAGGTTAGACTTATACCGTGGAACCCCAATAAACCAGGCATCTTCCATTTCTAGTTCCTCACCCTGGAGCACTAAAGGAGATTTCAGTGTCTCTACTATAATCTCAAACTGCCTTAATGAATCCTGATCCCTCAGCTTGAGCATGGAGCTCCAGTAGAATTCGATAGGAAATGGAATGAAGATGGAATATAATTTCTGTAACTACTATTAATGTCCACTTCAATATGTAGAAGTTCCTATATAGTATTTTGCAGAGCTACCTTCAACTGGAATGTGAAAGTTGGAAACAAAGAAGAAGGATTGGTAGTTGTAAAATATCGCCTTGGTGACAGAAACAACACTGGAGATCGCATGATAAAATTTTGCAAGACCAATGACTTCTTCAGTGCAAATACCTTTTTTCAACAACGTAAACTGCAACTATACACATGGGCCTCACCAGATGGGATACACAGAAATAAAATTGACTACATTTGTGGAAAGAGACGATGGAAAACCTCAGTATTATCAGTCAGAACAAGGCCAAGAAACAACTGTGGAACAGATCATCAATTGCTCATATGCAAGTTCAAGTCGAAGTTGCTGGAAATTAGAACAAATCCACAAGAGCCAAAGTACAACCTTGAGTATATCCCACCTGAATTTAGAGACCATCTCAAGAATAGATTCGGTGCGTTGAACACTAACGACCAAAGACCTGGTGAGTTGCAGGATGACATCAAGGACACCATACATGAAGAAAGCAAGAGGTCATTAAAAAGATAGGAAAGAAAGAAATGACCAAAATGGATGTCAGAAGAGACTCTGAAAGTTGTTCTTGAACGTAGAGTAGCTAAAGTGAAAGGATGAAATGATAAAGTAAAAGAGCTGAGCAGAAGATTTCAAAGGGTGGCTTGAGAAGACAACTAGTACTGTATTATAATGAAATATGCAAAGACTTGGAGATAGAAAACCAAAAGGTATTTCTCAAGCTGAAAGAACTGAAGAAGAAATTAAAGCTTTGAGCTGCAATACTGAAGGATTCTATGAGGAAGATATTAAACAACACAGGAAGCATCACAAGAAGACGGGAGGAATACACAGTCACTGTACCAAAAAGAATTGGTCGATGTTCAGCCATTTCAGGAGGTAGCATATGATGAAGAACTGGTGGTACTGAAGGAAGAGGTCCAAGCTGCACTGAAGGCATTGGTGAAAAACAAGGCTCCAGGAATTGATGGAATACCAACTGAGATGTTTCAACAAACGGCTGCAACACTGGAAGTGCTCACTTGTCTATGCCAAGAAATTTGGAAGACAGCTACCTGGCCAACTGACTGGAAGAGATCCATATTTGTATCCATTCCAAAGAAAGGTGATCCAACAGAATGCAGAAATTATCGAACAATATCATTAATCTCACACACAAGTAAAATTTTGCTGACGATCATTCAAAAGCAGTTGCAGCAATACATCAACAGGGAACTGCCAGAAATTCAAGCTGGATTCAGAAGATGATGTGGAACAAGGAATATCCTTGCTGATATCAGATGTATCATGGCTGAAAGCAGAGAATACCAGAAAGATGTTTACCTGTATTTTATCGACTATGCAAAGGCATTCGACTGTGTGGATCATAACAAATTATGGATAACATTTCAAAGACTAGGAATTCCAGAACACTTAATTGTGCTCACGAGGAACCTGAACATAGACCAAAGGGCAGTCGTTCGAACAGAACAAGGGGATACTGCATGGTTTAAAGTCAGGAAAGGTGTGCATCAGGGTTGTATCCTTTCACCATACTTATTCAATATGTATGTTGAGCAAATAATTCGAGAAGCTGGACTATATGAAGAAGAATGGGGCATCAGGATTGGAGGAAGACTCATTAACAGTCTGCAACATGCAGATGACACAACGCTGCTTGCTGACAGTGAAGAGGTCTTGAAGCACTTACTGATGAAGATCAAAGACCACAGCCTTCAGTATGGATTACACCTCAACAGAAAGAAAACAAAAATCCTCACAAGTGCAACAATAAGCAACATCATGATAAACAGAGAAAATATTGAAGTTGTCAAGGATTTAATTTTACTTGGATCCACAATCTACACCCATGGAAGCAGCAGTCAAGAAATCAAACGAGTGAGATGAGACGGCAGAGAGGGTCAGGAGCTGGTTGAATGGACATGGGAAATCAGGAGTGGAAAGGAGGAGTGTGCTGTCACAGTATAGCAAAACCAATTAAGGTCACATAACTATGTATAAATTTTTGTATGAGAGACTAACTTGAAATGTAAACTTTCACTAAAACTACAACAATTAAAAAAAAGCCAAAAAAAATTCAGTCTCAAGAAATAATTTAATTCTTCTCATGACAAAGAACATTAGGATTCATTTTAATATTATTTGTTCCTCCTACGAAAGAGCAATGGAAAAATAAAATTTCATGCTAGAAAAAAAAAGAGAAATCAAACGACCCATTGCATGGGCGAATCTGCTGCAAAAGACCTCTTTGAAGTGTTAAGAAGCAAAGATGTCACTTTAAGGACTAAGGTGCACCTGATCCAAGCCACTGTGTTTTCAATCGCCTCATATGCATGTGAAAGCTGGACAATGAATAAGGAAGACTGAAGAAGAATTGATGCCTTTGAATTGCGGTGTTGGCAAGGAATATTGAATATACCATGGACTGTCAGAAGAATGGACAAATCTGTCTGGGAAGAAGTACAGCCAGAATGCTCATTAGAAGCAAGGATGACGAGACTTCATCTCACATACTTCGGACATGTTATCAGGAGTCAGTCCCTGGAGAAGGACATCATGCTTGGGAAAGTAGCGGGTCAGTGAAAAAGAGGAAGACCCTCAAAGAGATGGATTGACACAGTGGCTGCAGCAATGGGCTCAGGCGTAACAACAATGGTGAGGATGTCACAGGACCGGGAAGTGTTTTGTTCTGTTGTACATAGGGTCGCTATGAGCTGGAATCGACTCGACAGCCCCTAACAACAACAATTCTCAACTGCATCACCAACTTCCTGCCTCTACTGGACATTCCCAGAGGCATATTTGAAGATAACTTATTTTTAAATAAATCTCCTTGACCCACATCCATCTTCACTGCATCTCTCTGCTTCCCTCACAACAAAACTATTTGAAATCATTTTCTACTCTTATAGTATCATTTCCTCGCCTCCTATTCTCTCACTAAGCTACTCCAATTAGGCTTTTGTTCTCACTGTTCCACTATACTGCCAGGGTCTCCAAATTCACCAACTCTGACGGTCACTTAACTGTTCTTACTTTACTTGCCCTCTCAGCAGCACTAGACACAGATGATTACTTTTTCCTTTTTAAACATTTTCTTCTGTTGCTTTTCACGACATTACACTGGTTTTCTTTCTACTTCACTAGCTACTCCTTATCAGCTTCCTTGCTGGCTCCTAGTCCTCAGCTGTAGGTGATCTCATCCAATCTCACAGCATCAAATATCTTCTGTATGCTGATGGCCCCCAACCGGTATCACCAAGCCTAATCTCGCCTCAAACTCCAGAATCATATATCCAGTGATCTACCCACATCAAGGAGTCCTTGGGTATTGCAAACAGTTAAGCACTTGACTACTAGCTGAAAGGTTGGTGGTTTGAACCCACACAGAGGCACTTTGGAAGAAAGGCCTGGCAACCTGCTTCCAAGAGATCACAGCCTTGAAAACTTTATGGAGCAGTTCTACTCTGCACACATGGTGTTGCCTCAACGGCAACGAACAACGACAACAACTCCATGGTTTGGGTGCCCAGTGGGCACCTCAAACTCAGCATGTCCTAAGGAACACTTTTGATTTCTTCCCTCAAAGCTGCTCCTATGCTGTTCCTTCCCATATCAGGAACGGCACTGCTATTCATCCACTTGGTTAAGCCAGTGTGTCTCATATTATCTATGGTAAAAAAAAAAAGCCAGGTTTTAAAAAAGTCCTAACTGGTACTTTCATAAAATAAAGTAAGAAGGAATTACTATAAAAATGAAATAAACATCCAAAAATATGAGCCCCTGTTAAGTCATAAAATTTCTCCATCAAATTGCTGTAAAAATTTCTTAATGGTTACTCTCACTTTCTGTTCTTATCTCAAGATGAAGAGGTAATAGTTTGCAGACTGGCTTAGGTTTGTGGACCATACTTCGAGTGCATTAAGTTAAGTCCTAAATCTGGGAATTATCCTAGATTCCTCTCACTCCCTCTTCCTGCCATATTCTGTCAGTATATACTGTCAACTCCACCCTCAAAGTATATTCCAAAGCCATCACTTTCATCTCTGCCACCATCATCTTAGTTCAAGGAAGTATCAGTTTCACCTGAGCTACTGCAATTGCCTCTTAGTATATCTGCCTGCTTCCACCCTGCCTCCCTTGAAATCAATTCTTTACTCCGTAACCAGACCGATCTTTTAAGAATTCTTCTACTTTAACTCCAATGGCTTCCCAGTGAACACAGAAGAAAATACAACTCTTTACTTTGATTGACAAAGCCCTGCATGATTCAGCTCCTGCTGAACTCTTGGACTTCATCTTGCATCTATACTCCAGGCATCGCGTCCTTATTCCTTGAGCACACTGAGCCAATTCTAGCCCTAAGATCTTCATGCCAGCCTGGAATGCTTCCCATAGCTGGCTCCTTCTTCTTCAATTCTTAGCTTGAGCGACACCTCCCCCAAGTGGCTTTCCCAGACCACTTCATCTAAAGTAACCCCCCATTCTAATCCTCTATGTAGCACTGGCTGCTATCTCATATTTTTCTTGTTTGCTTATTGATTGAATGATTGATTTTGTCTAATCATTAGAATGTCAGCTCCACAAAAGCAGGGACCTTGTTTGTGTTGCTTTCTACTGTATAAAAACACCTGGAGTGGTGTCTGCCCCATGGCAAGGG